GTACTTCAACGAGTCGTTGACGTACAGTGCTGCTCATTGAAGTCCGATCGAGTCAGTGGATACCACGCGGCGGGCACGGTGCAGCCCTACAGTCCATTCATTGGAAACTGGCACCCTAACTTTTTGGTGTCTCCTGCACATAGTTATAGATATCATGAAAACAACAGTACATCCTGCATTGTGTGACCCGTGCAATTACTCCTAGCTACATTTGAGGCCAGAAAAGTCGAAGAACAGGGAAATAGAAATTCAGCCAGGTTTTACAAAATTGGGACAGGTATACCATAGCAAAATGTATGGAGGAGCAGATCCAAAATCCAGATTTCTGAGATTTAAAGCGGGTTTTTGATCCTCAATTCGGCCCAAATCAGACTTTCAAAAGCCAGCGGGACAGTTTCCGATGAATGGACTGTAGACCTGTGAACAGTGGGATGTGAACTGGCACCCAGCGCAAACTTGATCTGCGTAATCGGATTGCATTGAACCCCCGCACTGTACATGTTCTTCGCCTGTATCGACCTACATCAATTTTTGTTTGAACTACTTTCTTGCTTGCTCTGTGTACAATCAGGGTGTGCACAACAGCAACATGATCAGCAAGTACGCTGAGATTGACAAGCGCTTCAGTGTGCTCTCCATACTCATCAAGGGCGTTGCAAAGGTGAGAACGGTGGCCTGCTGCAGAGGGAACTACCTGTGTTAAGCGACCACCAGCCACTTTGGTATAGTCAGGCATGGTGGCGGCCTGGCGCCAGCGAAACTTCTCAAAGCTGGTTGTGTCTCGTAGCACATCTGTACATGTATAGCAGGTGTCAACACGGATGTGCAAACTTTACTTTACTTTTACCTGTCGTTAGAGACCAGTCATTGGGGATGTTTAGTTCCCACGTAACGGAAACGCGTACGTGGGTGATCCACGTAAAGTGGATGAAGGGCATCCACGTTACAATGTTATGTTTAGTCACACGGAACAAACAAAAGCATGAAGGCAAAGGCCCAAACCTGGTCAAAGACGAAGTTACCCGGGCCTAAGAAGCTCATCGAATATTTTTATTTCGTGCTTCGGAAACTTCTTCAGCTGAGCACCCTCGCAGCTCGCAAAATGCGCTCCATTCTGATTTTCACCCACGTTCTGGCGGAACGTGGGTGAGCCTCCATACACGGTATTTCGTGAATCAGAAAACGTCTGTACGTGGGGTCACTGAGTATCACGTGGTACACACACGTAAAGTACCCACGGATTACGTGGGACTAAACCTCCCTATTGCCGGTCCAGGCCAGACCATGCGTCAACGCACTGTGGGATCTGTGTGAAAAGACCTCCTGTCCGCAAGGACTGAGTTTCCGTGCACACTGGGTTGATTGCTGGAAAACAGAAGATTGTGCGACTGTACCCAATCTCCGTACAATGCCTGTACATGTACTCCAGTGCGTAGATGCACAAGAGTTCTGTGTGGACGTTTAGCGTGGAACCAACATGACCGGCATTGTGCGACTCATTCAAGCAGGGAATGACTGGCGTAGGAACAAAATAAAGCGGAAAGAAGCTCTGACACGCTCATGGTTTTGTCATGTGGTACAGCACTGTCGGTCGCCGAAGAACTGGGGGAGGGGTCAGCCTCCTAGCCTACATGTAGACCGTTCTTATTTTCATGTATGATAGTCTATGCACAGTTGAGTCACCGTGTATACATTGGTATGCTGTGCTTGGTGAAATTCTAGCCTCCTGGCCGTTCTCCGGCGCCCGTCAGTACTGTAGATGTGCAACAGCTGCATCATCCTGACTTAACTGCCTGTCCTAGGTCGTAACATCTGCTTACGAGCTTCCGAGGCTTATCCCTGGCCAGTGCATCCTCAGTCACCACCATGCGTGTGGGTGTGCCATGAGTGTCATCTGATTGATAATGTACTTCGAAATAGAAGCAAGCTGCAGAATGTTGTGCCCTGCAGCACCATGCACAGTTGTTTCCCTATTGTCAATCCTTGTGTGCGACCATCACCAACTCTGTCTACTGTTGCATGTTGTGCTTTGCAGAAGTGCAGCATTGCCAATGTGCGCGAAGGCAGCTTGTCATCCTATGCGTACATCATGATGGTGATCTACTTTCTTCAGCGCACCAGCCCGCCTGTGCTACCCTGTCTACAGGAGGTATGTACTGCTGTGGCTGCTGCTGCTGCTGTTGCTGTTGTTGTTGTTGTTGTTGTTGTTGTTGTTGTTGTTGTTGTTGTTGTTGTTGTTGTTGTTGTTGTTGTGTGCTATTTTCGAGCAAATGAGTATTATACCCATTGTCATGTGAAATCAATTTTGCATGGTATGCCATGCACGCAATAGCCTCTGTGCCAGTCTATGGCATGTGATTGAGTTGACAGTGCTGTGGCCATGTACTCACCCCATTTGCCTTGCAGCTGTGGGAAAAGACAGACGATCAGCCCGAGCCTCCAGTCAACATCGAGATGTCTTGGAACGTCTACTTCTTTGACGACATCGAGAATCTCGTACGTGATTGTTCCTGTTTTTCTGTTCAACACAACCGCGCACGCACACACACACACACACACACACACACTTGTACTTGTACTTGTACTTGTACTTGTTGCTCACTGCCAAAACTGGTCACGTGAGTCCCCCCGGGAGAGGGGAGAGAGACTCAAAAGGAATCTTAGAAAGATGACTCAATTGGTTATTGAACCGCCCAACGGCCGACACCCCTGAAATCCCCAAAACGCTGGGTGGACTTGAAAATGATCTCACTTATGGGCTCACCACACCTCAGTAAGTGGGTGAGGACAAGGTGCAGAAAAAGGATTGACGGTATCAGGGTATCCGTCCCGGGATCCAACTGCAGTTACCCCTGCCCCCAGTGAAGGTAATACTTGCTACTAGTGTGAGTGGCTAAATCAGAGTGGGCCTGATAAAAGCTTCACTAGCACCATTGATTACACAAGAGTTAATCTAGCCAGAAGCAGTCCATGGTTAACAGGTATGTATACTTCAAATAGAAAGTATATGAACCCTGGAACCAACAAAGGTGGTAGGTACAACATTACACCTTCAAGCGGCCGAGCCTGTTGGCAACAGACCCAACACAATCAGGCATAAGTGTACCTACCAACCGAACTAGCTGGACACACACACACACACACGCACACGCACACACACACGCATACACACACACACACACACACACACACCTGACCTTACCCACACACTTCCTGAACATTGCCGTTTCCGGTTACATATCCCCTCGTGTGAGGGGCCGACAGACATGGAGAGTTTGGCTGAGGTGCTGCGGCAATGCTCGAAAAAGGTCCTCACCTGTGCAGTATTTATTTATTTATTTTTATTCTTATTTTACTAGGGAATTCCCAACAGGCTACAGGGAACCCTAAGAAAGTCTTGATGGATGATCGAAATTTAGCAGGTGACACAGTATTGTGCCACCCTTTGCAGCCCCTTGGTCCTGGTGGCCTGCTTCAAATACATCAGCGGCAAAGTTTTTTGCTATTGTTATCACTCCATTCGCTGTGAGTGGCCTCTGTGTGTACCGCTCTATAGGCTCACTCACTTGACTTATTTGTTTGTATTATATATGAATGTGTGTGTGTGTATGTGTGTCTGTGTGCATGTCTGTGTCTGTCTGTGCTCGTGTCTGTGTCTGTCTGTCTGTGTTTACGTCTGTGTGTGTGTTTGTGTCTGTGTGTGCGCGTGCGTGCCTGTGTGTGCATGTGTCTGTCTGTGTGTGTACTGTGCTGTACTCAGAGTAAAGTGTGGGATGGACAGGGCAAGAACAAGCAGAGCGTTGGCGAGCTTTGGCTGGAGTTTCTACGGTAAGCTGTGCTGGCCAGAATTACATGGATGCCAGCAGTACCTGTATGATGCAGGTCACCAATAGCAGTGCTTGTACAGTGAAACTTGAACAACTCACCCTGGCTACAAAACAGGCACTACTGTAAAAGCAGAAATTTTCGGTGGTGTAATATTTTCGGTATTCTCCAAAATCGGCGGTTCGGTAGAGGGAAATTTTCGGTAAAACCCGGTCTCCAGTTAAGTGTGCTAGTACACTACACGTATACAGTATCGGTTGTACCGAAATTTTCGGTGCGTTTTATTTTCGGTAAAAATTGTCGGCACCGAAGTTACCGAAAATAAAACACCACCGAAAATGTCTGCTTTTACAGTATGAGATAAATTCTACTGTTGAGGATTGTGTGTTACGCCAAACCAGTCATTCGACCTTGGATATACATGTGCGGCACCTCCGCTGTAAAGTACAGACCTTTTCGGCCCTTGCAAGTTCTTTGAAGTATATTACACTGAAGTTTTCTTCTCCTGTTGCGAGAGAGTGCTTGCACAAGCCCTGGACGAGTTTGGACAGTTCAGAAGCTGGCCTGCGTAGTCAACGTTGACATAACAAATGCCAACCGTGCAATGGGAGAGGACATCAGCAACTCGTTCTAGTGAAGGTCGCCTACTGTGTACAGTACACATGTGTAGTACATGTGTGTTTACCGGGATGTCGACTTCAGACAACCAGACTCATTACAATGTGGATGTGCTAATGTGGCTGTGCTAATGTGTGTGTGTGTGTGTGTGTGTGTGTGTGTGTGTGTGTGTGTGTGTGTGTGTGTGTGTGTGTGTGTGTGTATGTGTGTGTGTGTGTGTGTGTGTGTGTGTGCGCGTGTGTGTGTGTGTGTGTGTGTGTGTGTATGTGTGTGTGTGTGTGTGTGTGTGTGTGTGTGTGTGCGTGTGTGTGTGTGTGTGTATGTGTGTGTGTGTGTGTGTGTGTGTGTGTGTGTGTGTGTGTATGTGTGTGTGTGTGTGTGTGTGTGTGTGTGTGTGTGTGCGCGTGTGTGTGTCTTCCTTTTCCCCATTCGCAATGCCAGCTTCTATTCAGAGTTTGATTTCACAAAGTATGCTGTAACTCCGAGAACGTCGGAAATGGTGGAAGTCTCTTCCCTGAGCCATATCGGTGGTCGAAGCAAGTCTTTAGTTATAGAAGGTGAGTTTGAAGTACTACCATGTACATGTACTTGCTCCGTGTTTGGTCCACGTCTTATGTACAGGAGCACCTGGTTTAGGCGACTACCTCATGCATGCTGCAATCAAAAGTGTCTTTTTTTGGCATGTGGCCTCCTGAACTAGGCTCCATAGTCTCGTGCACGCATGCTGTCACAGTGTGTGTCACTTTTGTACACCAACAAGCCACTTTGCACTGCTACTTCAGGTCACACTGTTGCATGTACATGTGATCGCTGCATACAAGTCACACATGGTGGTTGGTACGCTAAAAGTGGGTCGCTGGACGCATAAGGCAGGTAGCTGCTGAATCTGATGCTCTTTCGCCACAGGATTGCGCTGCAATTGAAGTGTCTTCTGTGCAGTGAAACTTCACCAGTGCTAGTGCTGTGGAACAGGTGTCTGTCCACTTGCTGCCTCTGAACTGCAAATAGGAAGCTGTGTTCGTCTTGCCCTGGTGCATACGTGTGTGTGTGCGTGTGCGTGCGTGTGTGTGTGTGTGCGTGGTGGAAGGCTACCTTCTTGCCAAAGCATTTGGAAGTTGGACTAGTTTCGGCTCCACAATCCAGTGTGTCGTTACTATAATAGCTTTCATGGCTGAGGTTGTTGGTATGTCTGTTGGCTCTGGGTTCCCAGTACTCAGTAGGCGAGGCTGGTTGGGAAAGTAACTCCAATTTCACTTCAAGGTACCAGTGCATCTAGTGTCTGCTTCTATCAAAGCAGCGTGCTGTCTATACTGGTTACCCCAGCAAGTGTAGGGTGTGCATAGGTAACTGTCTTGGCCGTTTTATGCCGATGTACTCTGTGTGGTGTAGACCAGGTGTGCATTGGTGGTCGATTCACATGGCTTCGCCAGTTGTGTGGATTAGACAGTTATCTGGCGCAAGTCTCGATCTGTCACATTCAGATCTTGTTCGCTATCGTTGCTATAAGAGAAAATCTGTGGGTGCACATCCAGTGCATTTGCAGATTTGCGTGCTTCTCTTGCGACGGGCGTATACATGATACATACATGGTGTGTGTGTGTTTCTTTTCATAGATCCGTTCAATCTATCGCACAATCTTGGACGTCAGATGACTGCTAGTGGCCTGCAGTTTGTCTTGAAGATTTTCGATCATACTTACACTCACTTCATTTCGCCCGTCTCATTACCCAATGAACATCTCAAGGTACAGACTACTATTGATAAGCCACACGCTAAGAGTACACGACTAAGCACGCATGACGCACGGATGGGGGGGGGGGGGGGGGGGTGCTTGTGCGTGGTGTGTGTGGGTGGGTGTGTTCGTACATGTGTGTGTGGGTGTGCTCATGTGTGTGTGTGTATGGAGAGGGAGGGGGGCTTCTGCTTATTCCGCCTCATTCACAATATCACTTTCTGCGACACGACATGTGACACTTGCAACAAGGAAATATCTGTCGCGTGCTGTCACAAGCACAGTGTTGCCAACCGCCCGTATTTGTCCGTATTTTGTTACGAAAAACGAAGTTTTGTCCGCAGTATGGATTTCAATCGAATTATCCCGCAAACGACCATGTATAATCGATTACTAAAACCATCATAACTCCATCGTTTCTTGTGCAAATTCAACAATCGAAGGGTCTATGTGGTAGCGAAAACTCTAAGCTGTCCAATGCAATAATCGTCGAAGAGTTACGACGTCGGACTCCAGAGATATCAAGCGCCGTATTCCGGTATTCTTACCTCGGCAAATTCAAATTTTTGATCGATCTCTTCGCTATTTTGGGGGAAATCCCTTTTCGTGTACTCTGAGCGACTGAGCACATCATAATGACGTAGCCGGCTGAAGTTTGAATCGCCTCGAACAAATTGAGCGTTCTGCGATGAAGGAGATCGAGAGGGGAATGGTGTTGATGGGACGAATTTGCTTGCATATTAGTCTTGGAGACGACTTTGCTGTGTTACCGCGCCAGATTTGTGGCGGCTTCATAAGGGAGCTTGGTATCCTGGCGTTGCTCATGCCAAGAGCTTTCCAACGGTTAATGAGCCTTAGATTGTGAAAATCAAGCGAAGTAGACCAAAGTTATGACCTGGTGAAGTTGAAAATTGTACTGAATTCGTAGGCTTCACAAGAGCGGCTGGAATTGGAAAGGTTATACAGTATCGGGGTTTTCCACACTATTAAAATCAGTGAAAATGTTGACCTGAAAAAACGAGTACGCAAACTCTGGAAAATTCTGCAAAATGGCAGTACGCATGGGGGTGGAGGGCACTTGGTAACACTGCAACCACTCACAAGGGCACTGTCACAGAAATTGGCCAGAGTTCAACTTTTGGGACGTGCAACTCGCGACGTACATCAATAGTCAATAACGGTTTACTGGGCTGGGCGCAGGTGCAGTGCATGTGCATACACTGTGCACTGCATTTAGATGTCTCAAAAACCGAAAAAATGTGAATCATGTATTGCGTTTCGCGGGTGTCGCATGTCGCGCGTCACAGAAAGTGGTATTGTGAATA